AATACTCCAAATATAAATATAAATTTCAGTCCAAAAAGTCTGTGCAAATTCCTCTGATATACCATCAACCAATTGATATCCATTCCTCTTACCCTTTTTCTGATCCAGAATCCAATACCATATCAAAATTCCCCCCCTCTCTCTTTCTGGTGGCTTTTCAGATACATACCCTCTCCTTGTCAGTGTGTATTTTGGGATCTCATGGAGATTCCCTAACTCTAGTCTAAGAAGTTCAATAAAATAGTGAATACAATAGGGCCCTTTTAACTTTTTTTTTTTTGTAACACAGTTCAAGTGGACGTCTATATACCATTTTCACATAACTAATTGTTCTTTTAAGTGAAGTTGGATAAATGTTGCAATGACAAATTTGCCCAGAGTTTTGGCCCCTAATAGGTGTCTATTGCTGTTGAGTGTTAACTGATTGATGCCCTCTCGCAGTAATTTGGAAGGTGAAGGATGATGAGAGAGGTGAGGCAACAGGAAAGGGATGTTCACCTGTAGCTTTCTTCTTTCTTGGAATACAGAATACTTCCAAATTGTTGGAAAGTTCTTGTACTTAGCTAATTCCTTATCAATTTGACAGCTTTAGAGGCGTGCATGTCTGTTATATATCTGTCAATGGTCTGTAACTGTGCGAGAGTTGAATGAAAAACCCTAGTTTATTAATGAGATAATATGGGCTTATATAGGCCCCTACAGACACATCTTACAAATAACTCTCTAACTTTATTAATATGTCAACACTCCTTCTCAAGATGGGCGAAAGATATCCACTAAGCCCATCTTGTCACATCCTCTAATCATATCTACTGAGCTAAGTCACTTAGTCAGACAATTTGCTGCCTGATCCTTAGTTAAAACATGACTTAGTTCCAGTAGTCCACTGTCCAACTTCTCTTTGATGAAGAACCTATCGATCTCAATGTGTTTGGTTCTATCATGCTGTACTAGGTTATTGGCGATACTGATGGCTGACTTGTTATCACACCACAGCTTCATCTTTGCTCCTTGATCCAGTTTCAGCTCCACCAGCATACTCTTCAACCACAATAACTCCGCAACTCCCAAGACCATAGCTCTCTATTATGCTTCAGCTGTTGATTTTGCCACCACTGACTGTTTCTTGCTCTTCCACGAGACCAAGTTGCCTCCTATGAAGATACAATATCCTGAGGTGGACCTCTTGTCATCAGTACAGCTAGCCCAATCGGAGTCACAATAACCCTCAATGCTCATATGTTCATTCTTCCTGAATATTAGCCCTTTTTCGGGGGCACTCTTCAAATACGTCAGAATCTGGTACACTGCGTCCATATGACCCTTCCTTGGATCATGCATGTAGCGACTCACCACGCTCACTGCAAAAGAGATATCAGGACGTGTGTGACTCAGATAGATCAACCTGCCCACCAATCTCTGGTATCTATCACGATCAACTGGTTTTCCAGCCTCAGCACCCAGATTGAACTTCTGGTCGATCGGTGTAGTTGCAGGTTTGCACCCTAACATCCCTGTCTCCTTGAGAAGATCTAGTGCATACTTCCTTTGGGATAGGACAATCCCCTCTGCTCTTCGAGCTATCTCTATTCCAAGAAAGTATCGAAGCAAGCTAAGATCTTTCACCTCGAATTCCTTACCCAGTCTCACTTTGAGTTGGGCAATCTCATTCTCATCATTCCCTATAATAATCATATTATCCACATATACCGTAAGCATGGTAATGTGACCTTCACTTCGTCAAAAGAACACGGTATGATTGACGTTAATCTGTTGGTATCACATACCTATCATAGCCCTCCTGAATCTATCGAACCAAGCACGAGGAGACTGTTTCAGCCCATAGAGAGACTTCTTCAATCTGCAGACCTTGCCCACTGTCTGATCTGTACTGGTGGTATTTCCATGTATACCTCTTCTACTAGATCTCCATGAAGAAATGTATTCTTCACATCTAGTTGGTGTAGCTTTCATCCATCATTTACTGCCGGAGAGATCAATATCCTAACAGTGCTCATCTTCGCCACTGGTGCAAAGGTCTCATCATAGTCGATGCCATATGTCTGACTGTACCCTTTAGCCACCAGATGAGCCTTGTAGCGTTCAACCTGTCCATCTAGATTCTGCTTCATAGTGAAGACCCACTTGCATCCAACTGCTCTCTTTCCTCCTGGTAGTTTTACTAATTCCCAAGTGCGGTTTTTCTCAAGAGCCTCTAGCTCCTCGTGCATAGCCGCTTTCCACTTTGGGTCCTTCTTAGCAACCTGCCAGTTATTAGGTACAGTAACAGAGTCCAATGATGTAATGAATGCTCCATGTATAGGGTGGATGTTAAAATATGATACAAACTGGGTAAGATCCCAACCATATCTATCGGGAGGATTTCCCGCGTTACTGCGAGTAGTCCTCCATACTGATATTGGTGTAGGAGGAGTAAGGAGAGGAATGATATCACCTTGAGAGGAATTTGGTGGTGGTGTAGGTGTCTCAGGAGTCGGGGCAGGCATTGGCAAGAGACTTGGCACCAGTGGTACTGTAGGTACTATTCCCGTAATTTGCTTTCCCTTCCTACTATAGGTAAGTAGCTCCCCCTGAGCCGTGGGCCTAACACCTCTTGTCTCATTCTCCTCTTCTTCTTCATTCTCCTGCTCCTCCTCAACCAATTATCCTTCCCAAAGAATCGATACAGAAATTGATTTCTCCACATTCATCGACCTCTCACCATTCTCCCCCTCTCACCTCATACTTCCAGTATCGGGCGAGTTACCAACAGATGAAGTTACTTTCCGGGTGTAATATGGCTCGAGTTCTCGAAAGTGCACATCCATACTCACAAACAACATCTTCTCCACAGGGCTCCAGCAAACATATCCCTTCTGAGTAGCAGAATATCCACAAAGATGCACTTCACCGCTCTAAGGTCAAGCTTCCTGACGGATGGCCTGTTGTCCTTCACAAAGCACACACAACCAAACAACTTGAGTGGAAGAAGCCCAAAATTATCTCCCTTCAACGTCTCACACGGAGACTTCCAATCCAGCACTCTCGAGGGCATTCTGTTGATCAGCGCTGCTGCGGTCAATACTGCTTGCCCTCACAATGTTCTGGGACATTCATAAAGATCATCATACTTCTAGCAACCTCTAAAAGATGTCTATTCTTTCTTTTCGCTACCCCATTCTGAGCCGGTGTGTATGGACATGTAGTCTGGTGCTGTATTCCCTAAGCTGACAAGTATTCCCTAAACGCTTTGTTAGTATACTTTGTCCCATTATCAGATCTCAACACCTTCACCACAGCGGCGTATTGAGTCTAAGCATACCTATGAAAGTTTTGGAAACAACCAAACACTTCACTCTTATTTTTCATCAAGTATAACCAAGTAACACGAGAGAAACAATCAATAAAGGTAACAAAATACTTGTATCCATTCATAGAACTTGTGGAACAAGGCCCCCAAACATCTGAATGTATCAGGTCAAATGCACGAGAACTCCTATGACCAGAACTTACATAAGAACTTCTAGTAAGCTTTCCAAACTCACATGCATCGCACACAAGGTTCTGCTTATTTGCTTTCTCAAATAGAGATGGATACAACCTACTCAAAACACTAAAGGATGAGTGTCCTAAACGCTGGTGATGAAGCATCAACATACTCTCAATACTCATCTCAGATCCTACTCCTGCTCTCTATACCATAGATACTAATGCTGAGTCCATCCCTTCACGATCCAGGTACCACAGTCCACTACGCCATGTGTCAGTCCTAAGTCTTCGTCCTATCCCTTTCTCCTAGAATATCACATTGGAAATATCAAAAGAAACAATACATTTTAGTTGGAGGATAATAGCACTAATGGACAAAAGATTTACAGGAAAGGAAGGAGCATGCAAAACATTGGATAAAGTTACAGAACCTGTATAATTGATAGTACCCTTACCAACCACTGGCTGAAATGTACCATCAGCTGTTTGGATACTATCAGCCGATGCTAGGTGTAACAACCCCAAACAATTCACCGCCTCCCGACAATATAAAAGGGGAGGAAAGGGGAAATTTTAGGGCTAAAAAAAAGAGGAAAATGAAAGAAAAGAAAAGAAGAAGAAGATTAGGGAAAAAGGAAAAGAGAGGAATTTCATCAAAATTCAAGACAATCCAAAGGTATGAACTATCCACTTTGTTGAAATCTTTGATTTCATAGGGTTAAAGTCTTTGATTTCTTAAGAAATTGGAAAAAAGAGAAAAAAAAAAGAAGAGAATGTTTACCATCGCCGGCGAGCAACTCACCGTTGATCCTTGATGACCGACGAGCCTCACCGACGCCGTGGAGGATCTGGAGGCGGCCTGCTCGTGTGCAACCGGAAAAAAAAGAAGAAGAAGAGAGGAGGAGAAGAAGAAAACGAAAAGGAAGTGAGAAAGAGGGGAAACTGGAAGGAAGAGATGAAGAAAAGAGAGAGGAGAATTTAAAATAAAATAGTAAAATTATTTTGGGACCCCTGAAATATTTTTAGTTTGTATATGGGTCAAAGAGGAATAAAAAAACATCTTTAGGACCCCTGAAAGGTTAAAAATTCGTAAATGAACCCTAACAGAGAATTTA